TGCCGGTCATGGGGCCTGAACTCTGGGTCTGGGTGCTGTCCCTCAGCTCTTCAGCTCAAGGCTAGCGCTCTACCACTTGAGCCACAGTACCACTTCCGGCTTTTTCTGTTTATGTGGTGCTGAGGAATCGAACGCAGGGCCTCATGCTTGCAAGGCATACACTCTACCGTTGAGCTACCTTCCCAGCCCCACCAGCTCAACTATTGAAAGCTGCCTGTATGGTGCTTATGTGGTGAGGCAGAGGCCTATCTTGGGCAGGTGCTGTGCGTTTGGTGCAGTTGGGGAGCCCTGCCTAGGACCCTCCCTTGTCTATGAGCGCTTTCAAGAGCCCACAGAAAACAACTGTGGGGGTGAGTAGGACAGGAAGGTGGGTGCAACAGACAGCTGTGTTCACACCCCAGCAGCCTTCACTTTCACCTGTCAGAGGCAGGATGCCACTGCTCCTGTACTACCCAACTTGGCCACTAGAGGCCCCAATGGGACCAGAAAACCCCAAGGGGCACTCCCAAAGGGAGTACAGGAAGTGACTGAAGCCTGGTCTCACTTCAGAAAAGAATTTTTTTTTTTCTTGGCAGTACTGGAAGTTGAGCTCAGAGCTTCAAGCTTTCTAAGCAGGTGCTCTACCACTTGAGTCACTCACACACACACACACACACACACACACACACACATTGTAGTCCTTTTTAGTTATTTTTCAATTAGGGATTTTTTTGCCTCGGCTCACCTGGACAGTGATCCTCCAATTTATGTCTCATGCATAGCTGGGATGATAGGTGTGAACCTGTACCCAATTTATTGATTGAGATGAGATCTCTAACTTTTTTACCTGGGCTCTCCTGATTGCCATCTCCCGAGTAGCTGGGATTACAGGAGTGCACCACCATACCCAGCTTGGTCCATTTCTTTTCTGGATGGTTTGTTGCGAGCTGGGGGTCTATATGGAGAGGGCATGAGGTTGGACTTGCCAGGTTGTTGGGGGCCCCATAGGAATCTGCCTCATACAGCTGGGCCCCCAGTCCCCCATCATCTCCCCATCATGGGGAACACTGGAGGCAGGGCGGGGCTGAACGGAACGTGACCCCCAGCCATTTCTTGGAAATAGCTTTTCAAAACAAACCCGACTTAAGCTTGTTTTCCTTTGCCTCTTATCCAGGAAGCCAGGCTCAAAAATAAACATTGGTTATTTTTGGGCTCTGGTAGATCAGGTGATGCTGTGGATGCCGGACCAGAAAGAGGCATCAGCCATAGCTATCAGCCGCGTGCAGCTCTCCCAGCAGCTCTCTATGAGGAGGCGGGCTTGGTGGCCGCCAGCACGAGGCAGTGTTTAACAGTCCATTTCCCTGAGGCTATGAGTTTGCTATTTCTTTGGGTTCCCCTGAAAGCAAAGCCCCACCGGGACCAGACTGGCGGGTTCCAGCTATCGGGTGCCAGTGGCTCACACCTATAATTCTAATGACTCAGGAGGCTGAGATCTACAGATCATGGTTTGAAGCTAGCCTAGGCAGACAGATCCATGATAACTAGCAAAATGCTGGAATGGAGGGCTGGTTCGGGTGGTAATGCACCAGCCATCAGAAGGAAACAATAAACAAGAGCACAAGGCCCTGAGTTCAAGCCCCAGTCCAGGCACCAAAAAACAAAATTTTGTTTGTAAAAATCAGAAGAGCCAGGGCTGGGAATGTAGCTGAGTGGTAGAATGCTTGCATGAGGCCCTGGGCTGGGAATGCAGCTGAGTGGTAGAATGCTTGCATGAGGCCCTGGGCTTGATTTCTCAGTGCCACATACACAAAATAATAATAATCAAAAGAACCAGTTCTGCCTCTGTATCTCCAAAACTGGGAACTGATCCCCACAGGTAGCATTGAGGCCTCCGTGCCTGGCTGATGAAACTCTGGTGGCTCCAGGCTGGCACTTCCTGCCAACATCAGAAAGGGGGTGAAGAAGCGGTTCCCCAAGACATTCCCTGGGGAACCCAGAGAATGGGGTGCAAAGAGGCACAGGGCTTGCACTGGGGCAAACAACCTGATCCCCACCCCCATACATGTCCCAGCTCCCACCGCAGAATGACAGCAGCTCGGGAAGAACAGAGTTTTCAGAAGCGGGGTTGCCAGTTGGACCCAGGGCTTGAGGGGACCTTACCAGGAGGGCCTGCCCGGCCTCCGAGGCCCATACTCCCAGCCCTGCCCATGGGACGTGCAGAGCAGCTGGCCTGCCACCGTGAATACACCTTCTACATGTGAGCCATGGCCCTGGAAGATTCTAGAAATAAATGCCTTTGAACTGAGTGGAATCTAAATTTGGATTCATGGCTTTGGCAGTAGCCTTTGGGCCAACTGTGTTTTTGAACCCTTGAGGGGTTGGGGGCTCCTCATCCAAAGGCCCACCTCCTCGACCCATACCTGGAAAATGGGGTGCAGAGCTCATCACTTGCCTCTCCCATGAGGGTCCCCCACCTGCTGCTCTGACAAGCCTGGGCCTTGATCCCTGCCCACATGGACTGCGTGCACCTGTCACAGGACTAGCTGTGCATGACATGTAGCCACCCTGAAATATTCAGAGCTCCAGCTCAGCCAGCCACGATGAGGAAAATAACCCAACAAGTCCCAGAAAGCTAGGCCTGCTCCCCCGCACCCCAGGGCTCCCAGCAGCAGGCGAACAGATGACAAAACTCTAAGATCAACTTGGGACTTTTATTGCTTTTTTAAAAAGCCCACACTCTTGCCCGGCATCTGTAGCTGAACAAGAGCATAAAACCTGCCGGGCACAGGTGGCTCACGCCTGTAATCCCAGCTACTACGGAGACTAAGATCTGAGGACTGCAGTTCAAAGCCAGCCCAGGCAGGAAAGTCCATGAGACTCTTATCTCCAAGAAATCACCAGAAAACCAGAAATGGTGCTGTGGCTCAAGTGGTAGAGCACTCGCCTTGAGCAGAAGAGCTGAGGGACAGCGCCCAGGCCCAGAGTTCAAGTCCCACAACCAAAGAAAAAAAAAACATAAAGCCCTGAGTTCAAGCCCCAGTATCAGCACAAAAGAAATGGGGAGCCCCTGAGGGGACCCCCATGCCGTGCTCAGATCAGAACCCCATGTACACCACCAAGTAATTCCATGTGTGTGGATGAAGTCAGTAGGAACAAAACCCATTGCATCCCCAGCGAGGGGCCTGTGTCCACCCTGGACATTGCAGAGTCTGGACAGGCTCTCAGACCCCAGCTGTAAATAACGGGGGCCCATGGACCCACTGTGCCTTGAATCCAGCTGTGCTTTGAAGCAAGCAGGTAGGCACCGGACCTCTAGGAGCCCTCCAGCTCTGGGGTCTCTCCTTTTAGCCCTGCTGGGTAGCTGGGGACAAATATCTGTGTGAGACAGTCCCTGTGCCCTAATTCTCTGCTCCCTCCCAGCCACAGGGGGAGGACCCCGCCTTGGGGACTCTGCGCGTGCTCAGCCGCCTCCTGAGGGAGGACAACTTATCCCCCAGGACCTTGCGCAGCCCTGGGCTGTCCCTGCCACAGGGCTGGGCCTGCCTGGTGGCTGGGAGCTGCCCTGTGAACAGCTCCCAGCGGCCCATGGCATCCACAGCTCTGTCCACCTGCGCCAGGTCATCCTCTGTGGCCTCCCGCTCCAGGGCCTGGATACACGCGGCCAGCCACTGCCCATGCTCCTCCAGGTCCTCCTCGGGGCCCCTCAGCCTCGGCACAGCTTCCGACGTTGCCAGGGAGCCCAGCCCATCCTCGGGCCCCTCAGGGAAGGCGTGACCCCACACGTCAGGGGTCAGGGGCTCCGACAGGCTGGTGACTGGCTCTGAGTCACTGTCGCAGCACAGGCCCGAATCAGCACTGAAGGGCAGCGTGTCCTCCGACGCAGACCACTCCCCAGCCTCCGGGCCGGGCCACGGCCCTGCTGCTGCTGCCCGGGTCCAGGCATAGAGTCGCTGAGGGGGAGAGACGCGGGCTGAGGCTGCTCGGATTGCCACTTGTCTAAGGTCCCAGCCACCCTCGCTCGGACAAGTGCCAGCTGGGGTCACAGGGCCCTTCTGCCCAGTGCTTCTGCAGACCAGCCCCTGGCCGTGGCAGTGCTGGGTAAACCAGCTCCTTGGAGCACTTGCTTGCCTTTCCGGAGCTCAGCAAGTGGTTTGCCCAGCCATTCCTCCCAGTGAAACTAGAGGAAGTTTATCTTTAGAGTTATCATTTTAAAGCCAGGTGCTGATGGCTCATGCCTATAATCCTAGCTACTAGGGAGGCAGAGAGCTAAGGATCACAATTCAAGGCCTGTCCAGGAGACTCCTATCTCCAATGAACCACCAGAAAACCAGAAGTGGAGCTGTGGCTCCAAGTGGTAAAACACTAGCCTTGAGCAAAAGAGCTCAGGGACAGCGCACAACTGACAGAAAGAAAGGGTGGGGAAAGGAGTCTCCAGCAGGGCACAGCTGTCCCTCACTTTCTGTCTCAGCCTCACTTCCCGATCTCCCCAACTCTCCAGGCGACAAGAATATACCCAAGAGCCCACCCCTCCCGAAGGCCTGTGGGGGGATAAGGGGACCCCAGAACTGCAGGAGCTGAGCCTTGAACATAGGAAGCTCCCTCTCTATGTCTTGTTTTCCCACTGCTAGGTCTTATGACTTCCATGAAAACGTTTTGTTCAGCCAAAGGTGGACAAACGGCCACCACTCGCCAGAGTTTTCAACCATCTCTCTGTCCCTAAGGAAGGACTGCCATGCCACCAGCCGCCAGCAGAGGGCAGCACGCACACCTGCTCAGCTGTTCCAGTTCCCTCTCTGTCCTGCCAGGGGGCTGCCCTGCTTCTGGGCGGCCTGGGGGGTCACCAGGCACAGGGTGAGGAAACCGAAGGAGATGCCCACGGGCACCTGCACCGATGCCAACCCACCCTGCCCCTGGGTCACCTCCATGTCTCTCCATGTCACCATTCTCAGTCCTCCCACCTTGACAGACAGGCTGGGGTGTGCCTGCTGCTGGGGGGACCCGGGCAGGAGGCCTCAAGCCCTGATCCTCTCCCACCGCATAGGCAGGACCCAGGCGGGGCTCACCTTGTACCTGTCCACCAGCCTGAAGCCCAGGACGTGCTGCAGCTTCCTCAGGCAGATGGGGCAGAGGTCGGGGGGCCGCCGCAGGGCCTCATCCAGGCTGAGCGCCCCCTGCATGAGGCAGTGCAGCCAGCGGCAGCTGCCCAGGCCCAGGAGGTGGCAGAGCTCGTGACAGGCGACCTGGGGGGGGGGGACCAAGGGGGATAGACACCTAGCCTTGCAGCCATTTCTACACTGACCCAAAAGCCCTGGACCCCTGGGAAGAGGTCTGGGCACCCCCTGACAGTTCTGGGGAAACTCAGGCCTCCAGCCCTCTCGCTTCGGAGCTGTGTGGCCTTGGGGAAAAAAGGTGTCATCTCTGAGCCTCAGTTTCCCCGCTCTGTAGAGTGAGGGCTCCGAGAGGCCAGTCCCACCCTACCCTCACATCCTTCCACCCCCTTCCTCCCCCCCTCCCCACACCCACCTTGCAGCACTGCGCCACACCCAGGCTTCCACCACTGTCCTGCGGAGAGGCTTCAGGGCCATCTGCTGCCCCCCGGCCCGCGGCAGCCTCAGGGGTGCTGGGCCCCGGGAACTCGGAGAACCTGGCAAAGCTGCAGATGCCCACTTCTGGAGAGGGGTGGGAAGAGGGGCCTCAGAAGCTGTCTCCCTTCCTCTCCTGCCCCTGGCTGAGGCCTGAGGACAAGCCGGTGTCCAGATGCTACCCATGGTCTGTCCGCCCATGTCCATGACCCCGGGAAGGCCATCTTCGGGCAGAAGCCAAGGCTAGGGAATAGCCTATTAGCCAGGAAAAGGGCGTCCAGTTCATGTGGCCGTTTGCACATGCATGTCACTCTCTCCGGGACTCTGCCTTCAGGGACCCCCCTCCCAGGGAGAGTTGCAGATCCCCAGCTCACCTTGCCCCGGAAGGAACTTGCCAAAGGTGAAGGTCCAGGTGTCATGGGGGTACAGGTCAGCCAGCGTGAGGCCCAGCACACACAGAGCATCCTCTGGCTTGGTGCTCTTCAGAAAAGACAGGAGGCCATCTGCAAAGAAGCCGGCAGTCAGGGCAGCAGAAGCTGGCCTCTTTTGCCCTGGGCTACAAGGTTTGGGGTCCAGGACCCCACAAGTGAGGAGCTCTCTGCAGGCCTCGGTTTCCTCGTGGTCAGGAGAGCTGGGCCACGGGATGAGGGCACAAGCAGCTAGCGGCCTCCCCCTGGGCCCTGGGACCTGCAGGTGACCTGGGAACCTGCAGGTGTGCTGTGGGGTGAGGAGGAAGGGGGGCCGTGGCCGGGAACAGGGCAGGGAGGACATGGATCACCAGGAGAGGACAGTCTTCCGAGGAGCTTTGCTCAGGGCATGTCCTGCCTTGACACACAGCTGGGGGGCCCACAGAGGAAGGAAGGAGGGGGGACTTCAAGATTCCCATTCAAAGCCCCCAGTGTCCCTAGCCTGGTCCCCTCACCGCTGAGGGGATGGGGCTCAGTAGCTATGGACCACACAGGAAGAGGGGGGATACATGGGATGACATTTCAAAGGTTCCACCTTGCTGCGTGCCCCCTCCCCCAGGCATTCCCCCTGGCCCACCCCTCATCGCCCACCTGTGTGGAGCTGGAGCCCATCGGAGTCCTGGCTGGGCCGCGAGGAGCAGTGGATGGTGGCGGCCGCTACGGAGGGCAGGCACGTGACCCGCAGGCCCAGGAAGAAAGCTTCCGCGCAGCTCCGCAGCTGCTCCAGCAGGGGGCGCCCCAGCCCCTCACTCAGATCTGCGGACACAGCCACCCCCATCAGCCCCACTAGGCCCCTCCCTGCTGGTGACCGCCCCCTAGGGAGCCCTGGCCAACACTGGCCAGTGGCAAGGACAGGAATCAATGCCTGTCCATGTGCAGCACACACTCCCTGGGCGCCGGGAAGGCCAGCAGGGACCAAAGCCTGGCCTCCTTCTGGCATATTGCACGGTGCCATGCCAACAGGTGGCTATGAGGCCCGATGCTGCCCGCCCTCTCCTCCCCGTCCCCCAGCACCTGGCTGAGCTGCCCCTAGCCCCAGGGGACGCCATGGTGTTGGTGCCTAAGTCTTCTCCATGACCGACTAGGTAGACCTGCATTCAAACCCTGCCTCTACCCAGGGACCAGGCAAGGCCCGCCACCTCCCCCAGCCTCAGTTTCCTTGCCTATGAAATGGGCTGATCTTACCCTCAAGAGCCCACCCCCCCCCAGAGGAAGCAGCCTTTGTAAAGCATACAGCACCACGGGAAGGTGAGAGTTCTGTTTCTGTCGGTACTGGGGTTTGAACTCAGAAACTTGCACTTGCTAGGCAGGCTCTCTACTGCTGAGCCATAGCCCCAGCCCTGTTACTCACATTCAGTTCATTTTTCAAAAAGGAATCTTAGATTTTTTTTTTTTTTTTTTGGATCCAGTCGTGGGGCCTGAACTCTGGGCCTGAGCGCTGTCCCTCAGCTCTTCAGCTCAAGGCTAGCGCTCTACCACTTGAGCCACAGCGCCACTTCCGGCTTCTTTTTTCTTTTTGCTTATGTGGTGCTGAGGAATCGAACCCAGGGCCTCAGGCATGCAAGGCAAGCGCTCTACCACTGACACACCTTCCCAGCCCTAGATTTTTTGCTTGAGACTCAGACTTCCATTCTCTTATCTCTGCCTCCAGAGTAGCTGAGATTATAGGCATGAGCCACCATGCCCCACTTGGGTTTGACAGATGTGGGCAGAACCATAGACACTGGCAGGAGGCAGCACTTGTGTGGCTTGGCTTCCTGCCTAGTGCACAGGAGGCTGGGATGCTGGGACTTCCACTGTTCCACTGCCCCCGCTTCCCCCCCCCCCCCCGTACCTATTGGCTGCAGGTAAATGTGCTTCCGGGCTGGGCCAGGCTTGCGGTGCTGCAGGGAGGCATGGAAGGTCTGGAAGTCCTCGGGGGCTTCCGGGCGGCTCAGGAGCCAGTCGAAGGCAGAGTGGATGAGCAGCGGGCGGAAGAGGGTCCTCCGGGGATTGTAGGCCTCAGCCAGGAAGAGCCTCTCGGCTGGGGAGAAGGCCGAGGCGTACCGCTGCTGCAGGGCCTCGTCGCTGGAGACCAGGGCGTCCTTCAGGGCCCGGGGCCCAAAGCTGAACTCCTGGGCCGGTCTACACGGCAGCATGGTAGGCTGGGGGGAGCCCCTCTCGCTGCCCATGAACCTCCTGGGGTCTGGCTACCACCGCTTCTAGAACTTTCCTTCAGGCTGAGAGTGGTTGCTGGTGGCTCCCAGAGGACTGGCACCCAGCTCTGCCTGGCACTGGATGGGCAAGGCAAGACGAGGAGCGGTCTGGGCACCAGCAGGTCTATGGGCACCTACAGGGACACCCAGGGCAGGGTCACTGCTGGGCACCGCAGGCCTGCCCTGGCACAGAAGGGGCAGCTACCCCAGGACAGGACTTCGCCCTGGCTGACAGAGGGCGTAGGTATGTATGTGTGTGTGTGGCACTGGAGGGATTCGAACTCAGGACTTTAGGTTGGCTAGGCAAGGGCTCTAACCACTGACCCACACCCAAGGCTTTTTTTAAAAAAAAACAACAACAAAACCTTGGTTATTTTCCAGAGGAGGTCTTGGGATTTTACCTGAGCAGATGTCAGGCTGTTACCCTACCCAGGCGGCCCATGGCTGAGTTCACAGGCGGGAACCGCCACACCCGGCTTGTGCCATCTTCCACGGCTGTCCCAAGTCACCACAGTGCACAGGTGCCCATGTCTCTTCCACAAAGATTCCTAGATGGGGAAATGCCCCCCGCAGCCATTTAAAACATCTCCCCAGAAACGTGGAGTCCCCTCCTCCGTCACCAATAAATAGAAGACGCAACTCACACCTGCCTTCCCAGCCACTTAGGGGACTGAGAACCAGAGCTGGCCCAGGCAGCAAAGTCCAAGAGATTCTACCTCCAGTCAACCAGCCAAAAGCTGGACTGGAGGCATAACAGGTGACAGAGCACCAGCCATGACCAAGAAAGCAGAGTGTGAGGCCCTGAGTTCAAATCCTGACATCTCTCTCTGTCTCTCTGTCTCTGTCTCTCTGTCTCTGTCTCTGTCTCTCTCTCTCTCTCTCACACACACACACACACAAACACACACACACACACACACCCCTGCCACCATCACTTTAATGCCAAGAACACAGGGGCTCCTTGTTAGGTAACTGTGGGTTCTTTACACTCTGAGCCTACTCCCAGATGCTGACCACCCTTATGTCCACCACTAGATAGCAGGGCACTTCTTAACTCCTGTTCCCACCTGGCGTACTCAGGACAATAGTGCTGTATCCAACAGGATGAAAACTCCACTTTCTAGTGAAGGAATAAAGGGCCAAACTTCTGGCAGCAGGAAGTGAAAAAATTTCCCCGAGGTCCGAAGGCTGGGAATAGTGGTACACATTTATAATCCCAGCTTACTTGGGAGGCAGAGATGGAAGGATTGTAGCTCCATTTAGTGAGATCTCATCTCAAAGAACAAGTCAATCCTAGTGGTTCACACCTGTAATCCCAGCTATGTGTGAGGAGTAGGTAGGAGACTTGTGCTGGCAAAATATGGAAACTATCTGGGCACTGGTGGCTCACGCCTGAAATCCTATCTACTCAGGAGGCTGAGACCTGAGAACAGCAATTAGAAGCTAGCCCAGGCAGGAAATTCCATGAGACATATATTATCTCCAACTAAACACCAAAAAGCTGGAAGCAGAGGTATGGCTCAAGTGATAGAACACTAGCCTTATGCAGAAAAGCTCAGGGACAGTGCTCAGGCCTTGAGTTCAAGCCCCAGGACCAGCATTACAAAGACCACCAACATGCCGGGAGCTGGTGGCTCTATAATCCTGGCTAGTCAGGAGGCTGAGATCTGAGGATCATGGTTCAAAGCCAGCCCAGACAGGAAAGTCTGTGAGACTCTTATCTCCAGTAAACTACCAGAAAACCAGAAGTGGTGCTATGGCCAAGTGGTAGAGTGCTAGCTCTGAGCTAAAGAGCTGAGGGACAGTGCCCAGGACCAGAGTTCAAGCCCTGGGACCAATAAAAAGAAAGAAAAGAAAAGACCACCACCAACAACAACTGGAGACTGTTTGAAAAAATAACTAAAAGCAAAAAAGGGCTGGGGGCATGGCTTAAATGGTAGAGTGCTTGCCTAGTAAGTGTGAGGTCCTGAATTCAGACCCCAGGATTTCTAAAGCAAAATCAAAACATTAAGATAAAAAATCCAGACACCAGCTACTCAGGAGGCTGAGATCTGGGGATCAGGTTTTGAAGCCAACTTGGACAGGAAAGTCTGTGAGACTCTTTTATTTTACTTTATTTTTTTAGGGGTGGGGGGATCCAGTCGTGTGCCTGAACTCTGGGCCAGGGCGCTGTCCCTCAGCTCTTCAGCTCAAGGCAAGCACTCTACCACTTGAGCCACAGCGCCACTTCCGGCTTTTTGATGGTTCATTGGAGATAGGAGTCTCACTGAATTTCCTGCCTGGGCTGGCTTTGAATTGTGATCCTCAGATCTCAGCCTCCTGCCTAGCTAGGATTACAGGTGTGAGCTGAGGCACCCGGCCCTAGTCTGGTTTTATCTTAGAGTACAAATATATAAACGTATAAAACCCAAGAGTGGAAAGTCCCCTCACTCCACCAGCCACCACTGTCATGGTGTCTCGTGGTCCTGGAGAGCCACACTAGACACTCCCAGAGGAGATAGCAGCTTTGTCTTCACCTCCTGGGCCCCCGTGGTCCATCCTCCTCCCAGGAGGGCTGTGCTTTCACTGAAACAGGCTGAGCCTTGGTGCGCACACAGAGCACAAGGCCAAGGCAGAGACACAACACAGCCAGGCAGCCCGGGAGCCCAAGGCTTAGAGCAGAGCACGCCTGGACACCCACAGACACCAGAGGCAAGGCCCACCTCCCAAAGCAGCCTGAAGAATGGCTTCGCAAGCTCGCAGCTGGACATGAGAGTGACCGTCTCTCTGTGCCTCCTGTCTCTCTTAGGGGTTTGTGCACCACTGTCTCCTAAGACATGACTTTTTTT